CGACAAGATGATTTCGTTGTTTGGAAATATTATTACTGGCAAGATGAGCAGTGAAAAATGTCTATGGGGCAATAACACGTATCACCCGAAGTGGACAGTGGTTCACATCCCAAGGCCAAATACCCACATTCTATCCAATGTGGACGGTCCGGGTTTTCCACAACGATGATACTCTCAATCGTGAAACACCCTGATATGAATACTTTTTCAAAAGTTTAATCGCCCTCATGTACCTGTATTATCCTTTCATGAAGCTGCAGAATCGAGCTGTTGGGCATCAAAAGCCCCTGTTGAACACTGCTGTTTGACAGCGGCCATATCAACTAGCATGGCCAACTTGGCCTTGTCAGGCCATATCGTGGGATGTAATGAGCCATTGGACTTCTTCAGAATGTGGCATATAAAACGTACATCAACCACTCACCAAACTTCAGAACACCAACTCTTCACCTGGAAATTTGACCTTACCAGGCCTTCTGCAAAGCAGCAGGTTTTTATCCACAGCTCCCGAAAACGTGATGTTTATCTGCATTTTGCAGCATTTTCGGCATTTCTGCGCTGAAGCTTTATTTGCATGCCATTTGCAGCATTTCTAAGCTCTAGTTCGTACCTATATATCTACTCCCACCACGACTACTACAACTACGACTACGAGTGTGACTACAACTACGAGTACGACGACGACAACGACAACTACTACAACTATACTACGACGACTACGACTACCAGTACCACTACCACTACCACTACTACTACTCCTCCTACTGCTACTGCTAGTGCTAGTACTAGTGCAACTGCTAGTGCTACTAGTACTGCTACTAGTACTGCCACTAGTACTGCTGCTAGTACTGCTGGTAGCACTGCTACTAGTACTGCTGGTACTGCTACTCCTACTGCTACTCCTACTGAGTAAACTAATTTGGCACCGTATTTTGTGCTGTCTATGTGCTTTTCATATATACATGTACATATGTATCTTCATGTATGTGTGACGTATATGTACATGTGTATATACATATATTATTCATGTGTGTGTTCAGCACTCTAAATATAAAGTATATAAAAGTTACATACGGCCTCCACACTATCCATATATGTGTTGATTTTGTACTGCATACAAACTACCCGCATACAACTCATTCGATAATGGAAAGTTACGGGTATCACAAGTGCTTATTAGCTAGACACTCCCGATATGCTGCTTCTGTAATACCAATATTGCATCTGTACACTATCCGTTGGCATTTTTTTGTTGCTAAGATACTCCCACCATGCTACCCGATTACCATCTTTGTATTGCTAAGATGCTTTGTTTGTATGACTTATTTCATGACCCACCTATAGACACACCACGGGCAAAGGGAAAATAACCCAACCATCACGATCATGCTAGGGGGAGGCGGGAGGGGGTATGACAGTACGTGGGAGGGAGGGGGGGTTGCAGGGGCTGGGGCAAATAGACATTCACCTTTATACATGTATAATATACATATAATATATATAATTACACGTATGGGTGAATATACGCATACATACTACATGCATGAGGATGTGCATACAAGTATATCAACGTATCTATGATTTATTTATTGATTGATTTATTCATTTATTTATAGGCGTCAGTTGCAAGTGCCAAGAAGCCCTTCCAATTGAATCCATGCCCACAAATAGCCTGGGTCAACATTATGGTACCTGATTTAGCCCACGTATAGCCGGTCATCTTCCGATTGAAACAAAACCATTTTGAGGACAGGTTAATTATGGTTAATTATGGTTAATTATGGTTAATTATGGTTAACGATCATACAACCTGTACAAGATTAACTATGACTCATGAACAGGTTGTATGATCTTGGAACAGTGGTCAACTCAAAGGCTTGACAGCTGATTGACAGCTGAAGCAAACCTGCCTGAACGGTCCATGTCAATTTGGTCCTCCAAACAGCCGCAATCGCTTGGTGCGATGGATCCTTGCAATGGCTGAGAGCAAGCGAAAACAAGGGACCAATAAAAAATGCCACAATCATCCACTATCCTAACCTAACCCTGCAGCGCTCATTTGTGGTTCACAGATGTTCTCAGCAAGACCTCTGTTTCACCACTGGCCTTTGTGCACCTTGCTGCCAAGTGCCCAACCCCAAAGTGTTGGTGGAGGCGGGGCAACTTTTGCACGCCACTTGACCTTCCTCATCCTGATCAGGAGCGGAGTGATACGAGCTACAGGACTAACCATGTTCAATGATATTGGAAATGCTTACATAGACGATCTAAATCTGGTCAGTTTGTGATCGAGTGTTCTCAGTGAGTTATGCGGATCATCGCAAAACACAATGGATTGTGCTCTGATACAACGTAAGGTATACATTTTCTGGAGTGGGAAGATGGATGCAAACCATATCAGGCGGCCTAAACCAATGTGACTAAACGGTATGTTTGATTTACACGCAGAACCTCGATTGGGTCACACCAAGACGATGCCCACTAGCCGAGCTGGGGTAGCAAACCGATTGCACAAAGCAGCAAGCTGAAACAAAGGAACAGTGGCAGCTGCTTTGCATTTATCGACCAGTGTTGAGATGGCAACTGAACAAGATGAACAAGATAGGACATAGGGCACAAAACAGCAAATACAGCAAATGAATAGGTTGATGTCATAACTCCAAACGGCGACATTATCAAGGACGAGAAATTCTGTCACTTTGTGGAGTGTTATCCTTCAGAGTAAGTTGTTTCAGCCTTATTGCACCCAGAAAAGTGGGAACGGTCCTGATAGGTGCGGAAGGGGCAACGCTTGCACTCCGTGCTGCGATTTTCATCCTGATATCCGCCTGGCTTCAACCAGCATAGGGTAAATGTGTTATAGCATTGGAACTCAGAATGATACCGGCCACTTGGTCTTGAAGGTCACGAGTCGAGGTCAATGCCAAAACCGCACAACAACTCCTGGCCCCTCAGCCCCTGCCTACTTTGCAGGGTGTGCAGCTCAGTGCAGCTCCTGAGGGCTGCGAAGTTCCAAGGCCACAGGGTACGCAGATGTAGGTCTCGCCCGTGCCAATGCTGTCTTCGAGTTTCTGCGAGAAGGTTCCAGGTGGACAAGCCTGATGGTTTCCAGGGTCAACGAACAGAAAGCCCTACCATTACCTGCACGAAGATATAGCCCATCTTCACATGTATGCTTTTCGGGCGCATACATAGTGCATATCTAATGTACACATAACTGATACACTAGGCAAATGTGTACATAGGAAATCCTAATACATATGTAACATATACACTGGTAATCCATACAGTATGTGTACATGTGTATATTTGAAGTTAGGATCTTTTTCTGCTTTTTGACAAAATGGCGCCCCATGTAGATAGTGTCTAAAATATCAAAAACTCATGTATTCACTAAGTACCCAGTAGTTGGCTTACGGTTTTCGTTTTGACACTGTATCCCGGTCTGCTTCGAAGGCCTGGCACGTGATCTGGTTCGTGGCGTTCTCCCGCATCTCCACAAAGTCTTTCACCACAGTGTCGTAGAGACCAAAGCCGGGAAAGCACGCAGATTGGTCAGGGATCCACTTCTCCCATGTGGCACGATTCGCCAGGACCCATCTGCAGGTCACATTCTCCCAGGAATCTCCGGTGTTCTTCTGCTCCAACAGAAGTGCGTCCATTTGGGCCTGGCTGATCTCCAAATTATCTGCAAACCTATCCACCATTGGAGCCAACACAGGAAGATCACGGCTGACAAGGGTGTCGATGCTAATTGCGTTGAGCTGTGATGTTTGGATGCCCTGGTCATGCTCGCGTTTGTTGAATTCCGGAAATTCCACACGCAATGGTGAAAGTTCCAGGAAAGTGGGGTCTGGGGACCACCAATAGAAGGCCATGGTGCCTGCAAGTGGCAAGGTCGTGTAGTCGCCCCAGGTTGCGGCAACGCCAACTGCAACAGGCATGTTCCAGGTGGTGAACTTCTGCATGAACTCTTCAACTGACCAACCGGTGCCTCCTGTAATCCACGGAACACAAGTGGATGGATTCGACCTGCAAGCTGGCGGCAACCACCAATAACCGTCATCACATCGTCCCGAATACTTCTCCTGTAAGGAGCTTCATGCCAAAAAAACAAATGGAGCTGAAGGGATGGAAGCACGGTGATGTCCTTTCCAAAGTTCACACCCAAACAATATTATATTATATTATATTATATTGTATTATATTATACTATATTGTATTATATTATATTGTATTATATTATATTGTATTATATTATATTATATTATATATTATGTTGAATTATATTATATTATATATATATATTATATTATATATATATATTATATTATATATATATATTATTATATATATATTATATTATATTATATTATATTATATACATATTATACTATATTATATATTATATATATATTATATTATATATATTATATATATATATTATATATTATATATATTATATTATATATATATATAAACTGACACAAAATTGTGTTTTGTTGTTTTTCTGCGGATCTCAATTTTGGCCAAGCATCATTGGCGATGACAACCCCATCTGTGTCCCCAGTGAACTGTACGTGACGCCTCATGGCAGGGTCATCCTGCATCATGGAAGCGTTGCAAGGCATCAAATTTCGCTTCTCAACTGATGATATGCCGCTGAAGAAGTTCCAAGGCTGGTTCCAAGACACGTTCCAATTTCGGTAGAACTCAAGCGCTACGCCCTGTGTAGAGTACGCTTGCTCTTGAACAAGTTTGGGAATGAAGGCGGTAATAAAGCCCATGTATCCCATGTTGCCTCTGTTGATGGGCGCCATGGATGAGTAGGTGTCTTGAATGAACTTCCAATCATGATGATATCCGGACCAACTCTCAAATGTAATGTGAAAGTAGGTAGTGACCTCAGATGAGCCATGTGGTAAGTGCGGACAAAGAAAAATGCAAAACAGGATGCACGTCTGGCATTTTACTACTTGTCCACACGGGCAATTTCGGAAAGTTTTTTCCGTTTCAAGACAAATCACTAAACTATACCCAAAACATGGTGCAGTGTGCACACGCAAACTCCTGAAATTTTATAATTTATATGTTTCCAAGGTCGCTCAAAAAATCAACCGAAGAGTTTTTTGTGCCGCATGGGCAGCTGAGGTTGAAAAACCCATGTCTCGGTCAATAGGTACCATTTTGGCCATCACCATGGGAGCAAAAGCACTTACAGCACCCTTAATACTGAAGAAACCAGAAAATATTCTGAGGTGAAGTCTAGAATGCGAATACCGACTCAAGAAAAAGTGTAATCCGAAGGATCAGCCATTGAGATTTGGTTCGGCAAGCCATAGGCCACAATTGTTTGTGGAGTGTGGCTCCACTTCTATTTGTCGTGCCAAGGGAGCATGAATTACGTGGTTTGCGCTATATTGTAGAACCACAAATTCGTTTTCAAAAAAATCACAATCCCTGCAGCCACAGGAAAGTGTGACCAAGCAAAGAAGACCCTTCTGAAATGCATTGCATTAAAATGATTCAAAATGCTGATTCCGAAATTTGGCAGCCCAAATTGTGTCTTGACGCTTGGAATGAAGGTACTGGGTGGGGAAATCTTCCCCCAGAGTGGAATTTTCTCGGTTTGTGGCCGTGGCACGTGGTGAAATTTGTGGTGAAATTTCGATGATTTTTCTGAAAGAGGGAAACAAAAGGAAACGAAATTTTGCCGACCTTTCGCCGCAAACTTCGCCGCATGGACAAAAAAGGTCCCTCACGGAAAAAAACTTTGAGACCAACTCCGCGGGCAAACTTTCGCCGGCAAACTTCGCCAGAAAATCCCCCCAGTTTTACGGTTTTTGCAAATCAACAAACTGGTAGGGTGTGCAATAAAAGAAAAACGAGCGGCCACATGGGTAAACCTGACAAAGCTTGAAGAAAAAAACATAAAATTTCACTCTAATTTCATTCTGCTGGAATTTGGGACTAACAATGTCGAGAAGAAAACATCGTCGCTTCTACGTCAGAAACAAGGACTACAACCAAACCCGACATGCTTTGCAAAGGTGAACTAGCGCCTCGTCCGGTCCATGTTCACAGCCGCCAGTTCTTCAAAAGATTGGCGGGCAGCGTGAAGAGCGTTTGATCCGGAAACCAAGAAGCCCCTAACCCTTCAACAATCCTTGAGGAACTCTGGAACACTTCTTGTCTTGGATAAACCACCACGCTTTACACTTCTTTGAGCGAGACGGCCCAGGCCAGCATTTCTTGTGGCTGCGCCAAACTCACAGACCCTTCAAAGCTTGCGTTACACAGAATCTTCCCGTTGCCAACGTTTCTGTTGTTCGCAAAACCCGGCTCACAGTCACACTGGCCCTGGAAATTTTGAAGAACCTTGCAGAACCCTGTGTTGCCTTCTGACCAGGCACTTGTCATCAAACTGAGGCCACTGCACAAAGTACAAACACAACGGGGCGAGAACAAACAATGAAGAAAGCAAAGGCAAGGATGATTAGCAGCACCACCAGCAGGAGTAGGAGTAGGAGTAGTAGGAGTAGTAGGAGTAGTAGGAGTAGTAGGAGTAGTAGGAGTAGTAGTAGTAGTAGTAGTAGGAGTAGCAGCAGTAGCAGCAGTAGCAGCAGTAGCAGCAGTAGCAGCAGTAGCAGCAGTAGCAGCAGTAGCAGCAGTAGCAGCAGTAGCAGCAGTGGCAGCAGTGGCAGCAGTGGCAGCAGTGGCAGCAGTGGCAGCAGTGGCAGCAGTGGCAGCAGTGGCAGCAGTGGCAGCAGTAGCAGCAGTAGCAGCAGTAGCAGCAGTAGCAGCAGCAGTAGTAGCAGTAGCAGTAGCAGTAGTAGTATATAGTAGTAGTAGAAGTAGCAGTAGTAGTAGCAGTAGCAGCAGCAGCAGCCGCCCCTGCAATCATAAATAGATATTCTCGCAGTCAAAGGTGCTACAAGCAAGGTATGCGCCTGCAAAACTGCATTGACTTCTGACAGCACGACAAAAACCGACGAATGGGGGCTTGGATTCGCTCCATGTATGGTTATCCACAGCACTACAAAGCTTACCGCGTAGCGTGCCAAGAGGGAACAATTGACATAGACAGCAAGGACAAAAACTTCTCGTTTCTGCCAAGGGACGCCTTCCTTGCACCCACGGTCGTCAGTGTTGGTGAAAGTGCTGCATCCCGTTAACCCGTAATATCCCGACAATGCACCGCTTCCCAAATCATCAAGGTTAAGCGTAGTGTTGTATCCGAGCACTTCCTGCCCCGGCAAGCAACAAGTGCTCCAAAACCTAATTCCCACTGCATCGGCTGTCGCTGAAGTTTCACTCCGGCTTCTCAAAATGTTAAGGAAACAAAACTTTTGGAAAATCATGAAACGCTGGTTGCAGTGGAGCTGCTTAGTTTCCAAGTTAACTCAAGTGCTCAAGTCCTTCACTGGTTCCCTCAAGACCATGTGTTTCCAAACATGTATGAATTCCACAGAGTGAGACTCTACACCGTTCAAGTACAGGTCACCCGTGGTTTTCGCAGCTATCCGTTCAATAGCATTCGCCTTGCCTGCGCATGAAAAACAATTAACCTCTATATACATGATGCTGGCCAGGGGAGAACTTATAAATGCAAATATGAAGACTGATACGTTTTTTGTAGTGGTAGCCCTTCAGGAATGACATGGAATGACAAAGACAGTTGGAAGAAGAAGAAGCAGCAAAAGAAGGACGACGACCACCACCACCACCACAAGAGCAGCAGCAGCAGCAGCAGCCGCGGCGGCGGCGGCGACGGCGACGGCGATGGCGACGGCGACGGCGACGGTGACGGCCACAGCCACAGCCACAGCCACAGCATCATTTTGTCATCATTACCATCATCATTACCATCATCATTACCATCATCATTACCATCATCATTACCATCATCATTACCATCATCATTACCATCATCATTACCATCATCATTACCATCATCAACATCTCATCATTGTTACAATCATCAGCAGCAGCTATCCCCGATAATCTGGATATTTTTAACAGCCCAAAATCCAAGCATGTCGCTTCAGAGCCTGAATGAGAATGGATCCCAAGTATTGAGCCGCATATGAAGCTGCATACGAGGAGACGAGAGGCCAACGGGATAGGTTTCGCCATTGGGGTTGACCTTTGCGAGCCACAATCCCGGATCATTCACAAGCCGCACAATGTGTGCAAGCCACAACGGATGAACTTGTGCAACAATAAGGACAAATCCACAATAGGCCCACCATTTTTGGATGGTTGATACATGTTGATACCACCTGTTTATGGAATATTTGGGTTGTTTTTTTGATCTCCGGTCCAACATTAGCCATTGTATCTAAATGGCGACCAAGGCATGGACGGATCAGAAAATGCAAATGTGAAACATTTGCATAAGCATGTTAACAATAGTTCGGAATGGCTATCAATGACTCTACAATGGCTAATGATTAACGGTGAAAAACATTTGTTCACCATTACAGTATTTTCTCTGAAGTACACAAGGGCCTATCATCTGTGTAAACTATGCGTATATATGCAATATGTGTATTTTTGCACTAGAAAAAATATGTGTGTGTTTATTCATCATGTATACAATGGCTACATACAGGATATATGATATATATCTATATATCCATATGTGAAATGTATGCACCAGTGTGAACATAGATGTAGGACTTGAAGTTGCTGAGATTCCCGCCAAGTTCTTTCGGTTTTCAGGTGAGATGGCATCGGGCAAACACGATCCAGCCACCAAGGGCACCAACAGACCTGAGTGCTCCAAACTTGTCTTGGAGAAGGACAGTATTTCACGGACTCCGAAGACATTCATAAGCAATTCGCAGATGCCAAGGCTCTCGTCACAATGCTTCGCATGGAAACGCGATGATTTTCTCCTGGCTCTTGTCGTCTCTTGATAGCTCAAATGGCTTGGATACCGTCAGTGCTGCAGTGACTCACTGACGATTTTGGTGAAAACCGAATGCCACCACATCTCTTTCGGCAGCCCCGGAAAAATTCAAAGCACTAAGTCTTAATGATGAAAACCACATGCAGCAAGGACATGTTTTTTTTCAAAAATGCAGAATCAATTCGAGGTTTTTTTCTGTGCATTTAGTATTTTTTTGGAATCCCTTGCTCTACTGGATTTCAATGTTATTTGCTAAGTCTTGCATTGTCCTTGCTTTGTGACCCTGCATTTTGCATGTTTTTGTAACGTTTCTAAAGGGTGCCCTGGCCCTTGCATCGCGAGTTTTTCTCTGGTGTTTGCCACATTTTGTATATTTCATGTGCTGTTTTGGAACTGGAACCAAGGATTTTGTGTTTTCGAAATGTCTCTGAAAAAACCTGCATCTGGTGTTTTTCGTTGTAATTTGTTTTCAAAACGCGTTTAGTTTTTCATCTCTGCATCCAGCGGTGTTTGCTGCCATTTGTTGTGTTTTGGATCATGTGTTGGTGTTGTTTTAAAAATTTATAGTCAACATCTTGCACATAGAAAATCCCCATGCAGCACGAGTGACAAAATCAACACATAGAACAGTCTTTCGTAATTTCGCAGATAGAAATTTTAATGAAAAAAATCAATTTCGGGTTTTTGAGCGATTCTACTCCTAAGCAACATGAGATAGAAAATTAAAAAAAAACAAAATTGGTTAAAACATCACAAAACCATATATATATATATAATTTTGACTTTTTGTAAAGACAAAGTTGCAATTCATTTGCCGGGTTTTTTTTTCGTATGTATATATATATATACGCGAAACGTCGATTTAGGGTAATTTTCTTCACAGATAGAAATAAGACTATTTTTTGATTATTTTAGCTAAATTTTACAAAATGACAGATAGAAAATTATATACAGGTACAAAGTATATAAATATATACAAGTATTACGTAAAGTATTTTCGGACACCTATATATATACCGTTTGCTTGTTTTTTTTGGTGTGTGTATTATATATAGATTTGAAATCCAATATTGAGAAATAAGTTGATTCCAAAAAAGGATGTCGACTTAAATTGAAATCTATTTTGATTAAATTTCAATCCTCATAAAATCAAATCTAGAGTAATCTCGATTCAATTTCAACATACTTTGGACGCAATTTGCAATTGGTTTAAATCTTGTGGAATGTGAATTAGCTAAGAGCAAGACAAGAAACGTTTCTGAACGCAAAATGATAAAACACATGGGAACAACCAACATTGAGTCAACATAAGAACAAAACAATACAAAACACATGGAAATATATATATATACATATTTATATTTATTTATATATAACTATATTATATGTTCACACCTTATTTCTCAATGCTGTAGTACATGTTGATCAATATTCCTCCGTTTTTCCATTAGTTCACCAGGAGATTTCATCAGTTTGCCTCACCTATTTGATCATTTTATAGAAGGATTTGATGAGTTTCCCAAACCTATTTGATCAGTTTCTCAAAAAAAAACATGTTTCCCACCTATTTGTTCATGTTATCATTTGGTTTCATCAGCTGTCCCACGTTTTCCCAATCTATTTCTCCAGTTGATCATTACAGTTTTTCTTCAGTTCTCCAAAATTTTCCCAACCTATTCGGGCATGTTATCATTGGGTTTCATCAGTTTTCCCACCGATTTGTTGAGATCATCATGATGTTTCATCGGTTTTAGTTGTCCGTTCCTTCATTGTATCATTAGATTTCATCAGTTTTCCTCACCAAAGTCTTCATTGTACCGTTCATTTTCATCAGTTTTCTCCCACCTACTTGTGTTTTTTATCACTCGTCACTAGATTTTATCCGTTTTCCCCAACTACTTGTTCATCTTATCATTGGCATTCATCATTTTTATCCATCCATTCCTTGATTTTATCCTGAGATTTCAATCAGTTTTCCCCATCTATTTGTTCATTTTTCACTCGGTTTCATCAGTTTTCCCCACCTCCTGGCTCATTTAATCACTGGATTTCATTGGTGTTCTCCATTTCTTCCTTTTATCCGTGGATTTCATCATGGTGCCGTCCTATTGCAATGTGTGTATTATGCATTATTTTTACCTAATTTAAGAATGTTGCTGAATGACATAGAGAGAAAGATATAAGACTCGAATACATTCCGGATACAAATTCCACAAGGAAAAAAATATCCCCGAACATTTTGATTCTGATGGCTCTCCATTTCAAAAAGACCACAAAAATCACAGATAGAAAATTGTGAATGTGTTGCCGTGTATGTGTTTCGAAATCTTTATCCAAGATTTTGGACACGGCACACGCCATATTTATATTATACTGCAGTGCATGTTGCTGATTTCAATTTTTTACTTCAATTTGAGATCGCAATGATTGATTTCCCTTTACAGCTTTTCACATGTGCAAGCATTCACACATCCGAATTTTCGAGGCACACAACAATATCACTCCTAAAGTTGCTTAAGGATATCTTTTTACATAGTTCAATCTACTTCATGTTTTTGGCAAAGTTTTCCGTGTCATCAGCTTAGCATTTTCCGCATGGTTTGCCGGGTTTGCCGGGCTTGCCAGGGTTTGCCGGGTTTGCCGGGTTTTCCGGGGTTTGCCGAGGTTAGCTGGGTTTGCCGGTGTTCGCTGAGTTTTGTCAGGTTTGACGAGGTTTACTGGTGGCAGTAGGCCCAAGTGACATAGAGTTGGTTCCTACCTTAAGTTCATTCCCTTCCATTGTGAGTGATAAAAAACGGCCATGCTAAGCTGCTAGTAAGTGTCAAAGACACATACATATATGTGTATACATATATATATATATATATATATAATTGCTTTGAACCAAATATATTGCAGTAAGACTTGGTGATTCTAAGCCAGCTGCTGTAATGACCATTGAAAACACAATATCGAGCTGCGGAGCTCTATTTTCTTGAGCCAAAATAAAGGTCGGGTTCATGCTAAACCCCTGGATCTTTACACTGCACATGAGAGGTTATATATGGTATGTACATGTCTTCACTCCTCCTCTCTTGAAGAGTGATTTTGTGTACACTCGCAAAGAGCTAAACTCCGGCTCTCAGTTCTCCTTCAGCTCGAGCGCTACCACGAGCTAAAAGGTAGTGGAGTCTGGCCAGGGTCGTCACTTAAGTAGATTCAGCTGGCCTTTGCTCCGATCTGTCAGATACACATACCCTGACTTTGTCATAGTCTGATGCATCTGTGTACCAGGCACAGGTTTCGTCAGAACATCTGATCGATTCTGTTTACCTGGAACATGCACAACCTTAAGGTGGTTTTCGGCTACGCGTTCTTGCAGCCATAAGTAACGGGTTTAGATATGGCGTGCTTTGCCAAGTCCAACACGGTTGACTGTACCTTTTGCAGCATTCGAGTCTGACTCGATGGTGACCGCTGCATTGATACCATAGTCAGCCAATAGGGACTGAATTCCCAGCCCGGTACTTCCACCTTTAACCAGAGCATAGTACTCTGATTCACCTGTCGAAAGTGCAATGGTTGACTGCACATTCGAGCTGTGTTTCAGAACATGTTGCCCATAGAAGGCAATCATTCCTGTGGTCGATTTTCTTGTCACTGTGTCTCCTGCATGATCGCTATCGACCTGTATGACAAGTCTCTCAGGTGTCCTTTGAGCTTTGAAAACCTGAGCGAAGTCTGGGTACCTGATCAAGTATCTGATCAGCCGATCAGCCTCTTCAAATCTGTCAAGCTAGCCTCGGTCGGCTGAACCAGCCGTCTCGCGAGGTTCTTGACTGCATGGCCAATGTCTGGCCTGTCTTGCGACAGATATGCTGCCCGCATTACTGCGGATCTAAACTCTGATGCGGCTTCCTTTGGAAGCAAGGGGCTCCTGGTTTCAAGAGCCTGCTGGTCTGCAGATTTCTTTACATCTGGACTTTCTACGCCTTTGGCATTTGTCATGCCAAAGCTCTGAATCAGCAGGTCCACATGCCTGCGATCAGGTTCAATCCATGCTGCTGGCCTTCCTTCAATTTCGCCACACCGAATCAACCTGTTCAGGAAATGGATCTCTTTCTTGTCCTGAGGTTGGTCTCCGATGATTCCGAGACATTTCAGCTCATATGACTCGCGCAGCAAGTCTTCCAGCTCACTGAGGTGTTTCTGATCACCTAGTGCT